TTTCCTTCAAAAAAAATAAAATAGTTTAATTTTAAAAAAAAAAAAAAAAAAAGGAAACAATTACTATTTTATGTCCATACTGCTTTATTTTTTATTTTATTTTATTTTGTTTTTCTAATCCAGCATTTTTATGCAATACCCCAACATTTGAATAAAAATGCATTTTTGGACAGCAGGATATTGTTATTGTTGTTTGACATTTTACTTTGGATGAAATAAAATAATGTAATAAAAAAAAAAATATATATATATATATATATATATATATATAGCCTATACATACATTCTTAATGCACATTTTGAAAATTTTACTTGAAACAATTACTTTACTATTTTATTTTATTTACATCCTGCTTTATTTTTATTTATTTTTTATTTTATTTTATTTGTTTCTAATCTGTGCGATGTGCCAAAATATAATATCGCAATTCTGACTATTTTCTCAGAATTCTGAGATTATACGACACATTTTTCAGGATTTTTTGATGAATAGAAAGTTCAAAAGAACCGCATTTCTTTTGTAGTATTAGAAATGTATTTAATCTCACTTTTGATCAATTTAATGCATCCTTGCTGAATAAACTAATTTAATAAAATTGTCCTGACCCCAAAACTCCCAAACAGACATTTCACATTGGTGTGCATGTTTGCATTTTTGCGCTGCGTATGTGTGACTTTGGCCTGTAGCTGCTGTGCTGTAACTCATGCGCTCGGGGCTCCAGAGATCACGCAGGGGTCCTCCTCCACAGCCAGAGTCCCGCACATCTGTAACAGGAGCTGCTGGCATATAAAAATAGCTGCTTCAGGCCTCTGCCCTGTGAACCCGGGGGCCCTATTTAGTGTCTGCTGAGCAAACTCAGCTGTCTGGATTCCTCCTGTCTGCACCTGGGGCCCTTTGGGGCCGCCGCATCGGCGCGGGGCGATCCTGATTGAACGGTGTGCTGCGTAGCACAGTAGCACAGTTTTATGGGGTTTTCAATCCAGTAATTTATTCAGTTTTATATGCAGTTTATACAAGTAACGCACCTATTATATGGTGAGCATGTTTTCTGAATTATGATTCTGTTTTGTTGAGCTTGAAGTCAAGGTTGTGAAACTGTCCTGCAATCTTAACAAACCATAAATAATAAAATAATAATAATAATACATTGTGTTACTTGAAATAAATGTTAACCAAAAGAAAATATTTTAAAAAACGTATTTCAGCTAGTTTCTGCTAAGGCAACATCATTTTGATTTAACTTGAAGTATTAAACTAAATAAACTCAAACGAATACGTAAGAAATCTGTGTGTCAAAGTCAGTAAGTCTTAGATCATTCAATCTCAGTTGTAAAGCTCAAGTTATTCTTGATTTAGAAATTCAAGATGTTTGTGTGAAAAACCTCGAAAAATGATTGAAAAATTCTGAAAATTGCTTTATGTAAGCAAAACTAGCATTTTTTTCAATTGATTTTCATTAAGTTAGTCAATAAATGAAAACTTTGGAATGAAATGACTGATAATGAAAAATATTAAGCAAATATTTAAATATTAAGTAATATTATACTATTAAATATTATAAGTAAAATAATAATTTATTTAAATATTTTTATTTTACTGCTTAATTTTTAACTCCAATATTTAAATACATAGTTAAAATAAACAAATATTTAAATATTAAATAAAATATTTTAATACATAATTTAAAAAAGTATTTAAAATGTTTATTTTTATTATTTTGTCTAATCTAAATTTAAACTTAAAATATTTAAATATAAATATTTATACATATTTTATGAGGTTTTCAGTTGACAAA